AATAGCGGCTTTTAACGAGGCTAGTTAATCTCCCCGATCACACCACGTTACCTCCAATTTTCCGTCGCCTCGAAGCGCCGAGAGCGTCGATCCTCGCTTTGGCACGATGATCCGTGAACGCGATTGGTTCTGCACACGGGTATATAAATGCGACGGAGCGGGCGGAGGAGGGAGAAGAACAAAGCCAACTTGCGGCGCGGAAGATCTCCGTCCTCGCGCAGAGGGACGCGAGGAATGGTGGCAGATTTTAACTGAGGAAAGATGGTCGGAAATATATAAATCTCTTGTCACGAGGCGGGATGGATTTAAGTTGCTTAAGGCTTTAAGGAGACGCGAACTATCTTCTCTTCCTCGACTCTTCTCGAAGACACGAGACGTCGTCCGCGAAACGAGGGATAAACAGAGGCAGAGAGAGGTGGCGCGAATCGATGGGTGATCGATGCATCTTGCACGAAACTTTATTATCAGGGGGGAGGATGGACCGGGCCGCGCGTGTTCCTCGAGATAAATGGCGCGAAAAATCAAAACGCGAGATCAGCCGAGACGAGGAGCGGAACGAGGTCGTCCCCTCGGACGGGTTGGGGAGGATTTTAGCCGCGGTATTTTATTTCGTGGATNAGAGGGAGGGAGAGGGGGGTTATATACCCCGGTAGTAAAATCGTATCCACGTGGAGGGTTAATAAACTATCGATTATACCGGTCGCTCGATGTCCCTAGAGATTGTTCCGGTTTGATCGTGGATTTAACCGTGATCCTCTGTATGTGTGTATGTGTGCATAGGTATCGTGATATAACGGTTCTCCTAGTTCCTAGGAAACGATTGGACGTGTGCCCGTGTTGATCCTGTATAATGAAATATTCAGATCCATTTTAGGAAATTTCGCCGCGTAAAATGAAATTCGGTCTCAAGGTGCACGGGCTCTCTTTGTCCTTGGGCGAATTCAATATCCGGCCGACGTCTGTGAGAGGAAATTCGTCGCAGATAAGCAGCCGGCTTAATAACGATTTAACGTCGGAATAATTCGATTGGACCGCGCGGAGGCATAAAGTTTTGGAAAATATATATATATAT